TATATCACAGAAATATATATATATATATATACACACAGTTAATATGTGCTGTAAGCAGATAAATCTAATTTAATATACAAATTTTAGGTAATTTATGCATCTGATTTTCTGGTATGTTCTTTATTTACCATAAGAACATTATTATAAATACACATATTGCTTTTCTCCACATGGGGTCAGAATTTACCTAAAACAACACAAGTACAGCCACACTGTTAAAATTATTAATGTGTGAATTTTAATTTTTAGACCATAATCTCATACAAAAAGCTGGACAGACTGCATAATAAGTAAGACACAGACATGCAGATAATACACACACGCACACACACACACAATAACCTTGACCAAAAAGGCTAAGTAGAAACTAAAGAAACAGGCCTCATTCTTGCGCTTAAATGAAATGACTGTTAGCAGGACTTTCTGTGCTACGTGCATAAATACTGAATATTCAGAGTTTGAATATGCTGAATTTGACAGAGAAGACACTGCTAGCTACTGTATAACTGTGGTCTGTGTGTGTTTTGACATGTATTTTAAGAGGTTTCGGCTAAGGGCTAAGATTAAAAATATGAATTTGGGAGGGTATTTTCATGTGATTAAAACATATAGGGCCTACTATAAAGCTGCAACATCCTCACACCCTTCTCTCTCTCTGTTTTCTGTCTTATGGTGTCATTAAAAATGCCAATAAATAAGCTAAAGAAGCTAAGGGCTAAGATTAAAAATATGAATTTGGGAGGGTATTTTCATGTGATTAAAACATATAGGGCCTACTATAGAGCTGCAACATCCTCACTCCCTTCTCTCTCTGTTTTCTGTCTTATGGTGTCATTAAAAATGCCAATAAATAAGCTAAAGAAGCTGCCCTAAACAAAATGTGTCTTCAGTTTGTTATTTTTATTATATTACTATTAGTGTTATTTTTAAAGGAAGGTAGTATAATCTTCAAAAGCCAAACCTGATTTGATTTGATTTTTTCTTTCAAGCATATAAAACAGTTGATATAACAACACACATTTTTACACACAATCCAATATCAATTTGCTTATACCTAGTACATGCTTGAATGGAGTAGGAAGAAGTCAGACTTATCCAGTCCTACCCCATGACATCATCTTACCATCATTGGTTTGCAAGCAATAAATGATTCACTTCTACACACACACATATTATACTAAAAAAAGAATAACAGTGTTAACATTCTTACATCACACAAGTGATATACTAAAGAATTATTACAAAATGTACACCACACCCACAATAGTCCATGTAATCATTGAGCCTGTTCTTGCATATATGTATCTTGATTGACACATACCTTTATATTTACGTTTAAACTCGTCAATTCTATTACAATTTTTTATGTCCACACTTAA